ACAAAATCTGAAATGTACTAAGTGCGGACTAATAGAATAAAGAGGGAGAAAACAGTGCTGCGAATGCCGGCAGCTACCTTGCTAAACTCCGATGACTCTGCCTCCGACAACCAATACCCGCTACCAGGTGCAGAAAATACCTCAATCTGCACACAAGGTGCAGGGAGTAAAGTGAGTACTCCGACTCAGTGAGTAATAATCATAAATAAAGGCTGAGTGATAAGAAATCACAAAAACTGCATCAACATGCTGTATAGAAGTAGTACAAAACCAGTAAGAAAGCAATGAAGCTGTGAAATCTCTTAAAGCAACTTAGCTCAGTTTAAAACTTCTTCAAAAATGGCTTTTCAAAAGTTAAGCAATTGAATGCAAAACAACTAGAACAGATAAGCATAGAGAATCCGCCCCTCGGGCACAGTTACATAACTAAACAGGTAAATGAACAGATAAACACATAAAGGTTCTCCCCTCGGGCTATAACTCAACAACTCCGCCCCTCGGCAATAACTCAGATCAATACCAGCCCCTCAGGCAATCACATAAAACAATACCAACCCCTCGGGCTATATCTCACATCACAATGGGTACCCGCACTCATTGGGGGTGTGCAGACTCCTGGAGGGGCCCCTTACGGCCCAAGCGCAATATCAAGCCATCTCGTGGCATCATAAACAGTTTCTCGGCCTCATATCAATATCAAGCCACCTCGTGGCGAACAATCTCTGGCCCTCGGCCTCATAATCAATATCAAGCCACCTCGTGGCGTACAATCTCAGGCCTTCGGCCTCATAATCAAAATCAGTGAATCACCGCTGCGGCGTGCAGCCCGACCCAAAATATTTCCTCACAACACAGGCCCTAGGCCTTACTCAGTCAAAATCACATAAGCCTCTCGGGCAATAGTAAAAGAGTGTTTCTCAGCCCAAAACATCATTTAAATATCATTTGAGTATTAAAACTGAGTGAACATGGCTGCGTTTTGAAAACAGTGAAAAATAACATGACTGAGTTCAAGTAAAACAATGAGGAGATATCAACAAAAATCCCCGAAGGGTTCAAATAGTTGGCACGAAGCCCAAATATGGCATTCAACCCAAATAATCATGACAGCAAATAGATTTCAGTCAAATACACGGTAAAATCATCAATCGGGACGGACCAAGTCACAATCCCCAATAGTGCACGACCCCATGCTCGTCATCGAACGTGTGCCTCACCTCAATATAGCACTACGATGTGCAATCCGGGGTTTCAAACCCTCAAAACATCATTTACAATCATTACTCAGCTCGAACTGGCTAATTCTCTAGTTCGCGGCGCCTTTGCCCCTCGAATCGGCCTCTACGCGCGTCGAATCTATCCAAAATCAGAACGAGGACGTCAAAATATGCTAAGGGAACGAAGCCCAAGCAAAAATAATCAACAATTAGCACAAATCCCGAAATTACCAAAACCCGACCCCCGGGCCAACGTCTCGAAATTCAGAAATTTTTACACCAATAGATTCCTCATCTCCCCACGAGATCCTACATACCAAGAACATCAAAATCCATCCACAACTGACCCTTCAAATCCCAAATGTTTGGTCTCCAATTTCAAGCCCTAGCGCTCCAATTTTAGGCTTAGATTTCATGATTTTCTAGGTGGAAATTCACATAATAATCGAGTTCTAGTCCAAGAATCTTACCTCCAGACGTTTCCCCCATGAATCCATCTTCAATCTCCTTCAAAAATCTCCAAAAACAATCAGCTATGGAGGAAATAAGCCCCAAAATCGCGGACAAGATGAGCTTAAAAACATTCTGCCCAGGCATAATTTCCTTCTTCGCGAACGCGGTCAAACCCTCGCGTTCGCGAAGCACAAACTTACTTTGACCAAATTTTCCTCTATGCGAACGCGACATGACCATCGCGAATGCGATGGTTCCTCAGCCTTACCTTTCGCGAACGCGAAGAACAAACACGACCTCAGACCAACTGACCAAAAAGACCCTACGGGAACGCGAACGCGACTTCTATCTCGCGAACGCGATGCACGAGCATCCAGCCCTTCGCGAACGCGAAGGCTAATCTTCCACTGACCTCCACTGACTCTTCGCGAATACGAGGGTCCACTCGCGAACGCGAAGAGTAAAAACCTGCAACAGCTGAACCTGCAACTTCTGGAATTTTTCCAACTTCAAAATGATCCGATTGACCACCCGAAACTCACCCGAGGCCCCTGGGACCTCTACCAAAGGCACCAACATATCCTAATACCTTACTCAAACTTGTTTTAACCTTCGAAACGCTCAAAACAACATTAAAACATCAAATTTCATCGAATTCAAGCCTAAGAATTCCAAAATCTTCTGAATTACGCTTTTGGTAAAAGACCCAACCAAACCACGTCCGAATGACCTGAAATTTTGCACACACATCCCAAATGACACAACGGAACTACTGCAACTGTCGGAGTTTCATTCCAACCTCTATATCCAAATCTCGCCTATCAACCGGAAATCGCCAAAATATCAACTTCGCCAATTCAAGCCTAAAGCTATTCCAAATCTCCAAAACTCATTCCGATCACACTCCTAAGTCATAAATCACCTCCCAAAGCTAACCGAATCATAAAAAATCCGATTCGAGATCATATACAAATAAGTCAAATCTTGGTCAAACCTTTCAAATTTCTAGCTTCAAACTGAGAACTGTTCTTCCAAATTCATTCCGATTACCCTGAAAACCAAAACCAACAATTTACATAAGTCTTAATACATCATACGGGGCAAGTTATGCCCGAGAACTGACAGGCAAAGTGCCAAAAGCTCAAAACGACCGATCGGGTCGTTACACTTGTCGTCATAAGTCATAACCCACGCACAGTGAGGAGTTTGTTTGCTTGCTTCTCCTATTAGTATAGAATTTTTATTTGTACAAATACAAGACCCTTGTTTGATTCATTTAAGAAAATGATGTAACGACTAATTAAGTGACTAAGAAAATAGTCAAGGAAGCATAACTTGTAAATTAAGGTGTATAAGGTTCGAGAAAATAAGCAGGGGTAATGACGAAAATATTTGAGTATTCTAACATAAAGAAATGTAAAGAAAAACTCAAACATATTGTTTTTGTTTACGATAGTTTTTCAATCTATTACAATTATGAAAATGTCTATAATTATGACTTTATACTTTGTTTTAAACACTCGCAAATAGTATATTACATGCTTTAATATTTATTTGTGACAATTTTAAGCATATGTAATTTAAAAAAATTGTTGTTGCCTAATAGAGGAAGGTAAATCATTAACCTTCCACTTATTTTTTTTCTAAAGACGAGCGTGTTCATAAAAGAGAGGCGTACATTTTTTTCGAACCTAGTATTTTTTCGATGTAAAGAGGAAGTGTAACCATCCTCTTAAAGCTTTATTCTTCGGTATATATAAAGCAATCTTCTAGCTAAGACTTTTCTCTTTTGATATTTTTTTTTCCACGCAATAAGTCTATCCAACATTTCCAATAAGCTTTCGAGTGTTTCATCAATGCGGGTAAGGGCGTGTAGTGTTTCCCCTTTTCAAACACTAGAAAATCTCATATTAACTTTATGGTGGTTAAGTATTATATTGAGATAAAAACAAATATATTATCTCATAATTAATTATGATTAAGTGATAAAATATGTGTGAAAGATACATGTGAATGCATTTATTGATCTGATGCATACTTACAAATCCTTTCTTTTCCTTTAATTTTTTTTGATTCAAGAAGATTAATAAGTTTTAATGATTTTAGACGTAATACATGCTATATATTTTCGTTTTTTGTTTTGTTTTCTACTCCTTTAGTTTTGAAAATTATAACGTCTGTGGTAGGTGGTAACGATGTCATTGACCTCAAGAACTTTCTTGATTACGTTTTGGCAGGATTATGTACTACTCCCTCCGTTTCAATTTGTATGAGCCAATTTGACTGGACACGGAGTTTAAGCAAAGAGAGAAGACTTTTGAACTTGTGGTGTAAAATGAGGCACCTATATTTTGTATTGCTATATATCATTGCATAAATGTAAACTGTTTCAAATAAGTAAAGAGGTCATTTTTTTTGACACGAACTAAAAAGAAAATAGGTTCACATAAATTGAAACGAAGGGAGTACTATGTATTGAACAAATAAATTGTAGTGTAGGGGGACGAAATTCATATAGATCTCATGAATGAAGCCATTATATTAACTTTCAAGCTATCTGAGGTTTTGTAAATGCGCTCATCTTCTACATATATTGTAAACAGTGTTTTGTTTTTAAGTATACAAAATCTTTTAACTGTTTATAATACTATATATAGAAGGTAAACTTTATAAAATCAACTTTAAGATCCTATGAATTATGAACTTGATAAAGAGAGTAATAGCGAGCTATAACCTGGTATAAAATTATATTGATAATAAAAATAAATTTTACGATATAAATATATAAGATATAGTTAGATGTTCTATAAATATCTCCAATTATCATTTTTTCTTCTTCTTACTTTTCGTCTGCCACCAAAGAATAGTTTTATGCTTATACGCTCTCATCTACCTTTGATATATTAACTTCACAAATTCTAAGTTTATTGGATTCGATGGATCTCTTTGTGTCAATACCACCCCCCCCCCCCCTACCCATACCCAGAAGTAAAAAAGAGAAAAAAACAATTGTTGTGCTTTAAATGCTAACTAGAAGTGGACGTGTGGGATCCATGTTTGGTCCTAATTCCCTACCCACTCACTCAAATGCTCTTTTTTACTTAGTTCTTTTCTCCATTTTTATATAAGCTTATGTTCTCCAAAAGTCAGCGCTGTCTTTTGGGCCCTTCTGTAACTTACACACACACACAAAAACCATGATAGACATAGCTAGAATTTAGATTTTTTTAGCATTTCTTTGTTTTTAACTTTAGATTTCTTGCCCCTATCTATCATCCTCTCTTCCCCATTTTCTCTATAGCTACCTAGATATTTTATATAAAGCTGAAAATGGGTGACAACAATTGGGATCTAGGTGTGGTTGAAAGAAGCTATAACATTAGACCTAGTCATGACACCAACAAGGTAGAAGTTCCCAGTTTAGGCTTAGAGTCTCTGACTTTCGGAAATGACGATGATTGGAATTTTTTCCATAGTCTATTAGATGATGACCGTGATGACGATATCATGACTTTCGAAAGTTTAGCTGATGTATTCTCTAGGGATGAACAAAAACCTGATGCGCCTCATCAACTTTCTTTTAACAGTGTTCCTATTGCTGATGAGGTCAAGAATGACCAAAATGACCAACAACTGCTGTTACAACCCATTCAATTACCAGCTCAGCAAACCCAACCAATTCCTCCTCCACCACCAGCAGTGGCAGCAGTAGCAGCAGCGTTTGTGCCAGCAGCAGCACCGCAGCAACTGAATCCACGTCCAGTTCTGAAGCGAGCTAAAGTTCGTCCTACTATCACTGTTCCCATTAGAAATCCTATCATCCAAATTCGAAGAAGGTATATATATATATATATATATATATATATATATATATATATACTATAGGTTAGTCTTACTTTACTTTTTACGTTTGTTCGTTTACTTTTNCATAGACACCACGTGTATATATATATATATATATATATATATATATATATATATATATATATCATGGTTAGCTCTCTTTTTTTATGTGTCTTTTTTCCTTGGAAAAAAAATGAAATTTTTATTGTCGTCACAGGAAAAATCAGCCGGGAAAGACAGTCCATGAAGTGAGTCAAGAGGAACTCATTGATTTTACATGGGCATGGCGTAAGTACGGTCAGAAGCCAATCAAAGGGTCTCTATTTCCGAGGTTTTGTTATTCAGCAGTTTCACTACAACTCCCATTCATGAATTCTGGATTTCAGCGATAAAAAAAAAATTGCATTATTAATTAATGATATGCTTGTTATTCTCCGTGTATATGACATGACAGGAACTACTATAGGTGTAGCACTTCAAAAGACTGCGACGCGAGGAAACACATTGAGAAAAGCCCGAGGGATCCAAACCTTTTTATCGTTGCCTATTCAGGTGAACACAACCATCCTCCCCCGGCTAACCGCTGCACTCTCTCCGACAGCACCAATTCCAAAAAGCTCCCAAAAGGCATAAACATTGTTCCTAGGTGATCCTTAAGCTTCAATTCATCTTCATCTAATGACTCCGGTTCCAATCCAATTAGCCAAAATACGCCACCTGTGTCCGAAATCGAGAGCGCAAACCCAAACAAGAACGAAATGGTTGTAGAGGAGAAGAAAGTAGACAATGAAGAGGAGGAGGAGAAAGTTATTCTGATTCCTAATAATTTCATGACTGAAGACATTATCAAAAGCTTTGAAGAACTCAAAGGAATTACTACCGCAGACGAATTCTCTAAATCGTTCTTTTTTTAATGCTTTGTCCACCTAATGGCATGAAAGGGACAGAGGGAATTGAGCATATGCATATTATCTTTTCCCTCCTCCACCAACTCTATCTATCACCTTTTTTCTGTTATAATCATGCGCTTATAGGCTTCTGTTTTAGATTTAGTGCGCGCAGGAATTTCGGGTATGTAGTTTGCAGTTTAACTATGTACATCGTAGTCCATGGTCTCTAGTCTAGCTAGATATGGACCATTTTTAGTTTCGTTATTCTGTTGTTCTCATATGACAAGTCTAATCTGGTGTGTTCCGGTCCTAGCTATAAGTTGTTGTTCTATTATCTTGAAATGGTAGTTGTATCTTTAAGAAAAAAAATCTCGCTCTCCATATATATATATATATATATCAAACTATATTAACTTTAAGTGGTTAAGTATTATATTGAGATAAAAACATATATATTATCTCGTAATTAGTTATGATTAAGATACATGTGAATGCATTTATTGATCTGATGCATACTTACAAATCCTTTCTTTTCCTTTAATTTTTTTAGATTCAAGAAAATTAATAAGTTTTAATGATTTAACAATATATTTATTTCCTCAAGATTTTAGACGTAATATATGCTATATATTTTCGTTTTTTGTTTTGTTTTCTACTCCTTTAGTTTTGAAAATTATAACGTCTGTGGTAGGCGGTAACGATGTCGTTGACCTCAAGAACTTTCTTGATTACGTTTTGGCAGTATTATATACTACTATGCATTGAAGATTGAACAAATAAATTGTAGTGAAGGGGGACGAAATTCATATAGATCTCATGAATGAAGCCATTATTTTAGCTTTCAAGCTATCTGAGGTTTTGTAAATGCGCTCATCTTCTACATATATTATAAACAGTGTTTGGTTTTTAAGTATAAAAAATCTTTTAACTCACTACTAGAAAATGGCTATTTTGCGACTGCAGAAACGGTCAGAAAGTGGTCAGAAAACGCTAATTTCCGACTACTTTCAGACCGAAAAGTTGTAGTCGCAATATAGCTGGTCTGAAATAGTTTGCGACCGAATCCGTCAGTAATTTGCGACTACAGCGGTCGCTAAGGCAAAAAAGAAAACGACTAATAAATGCGGTAAGTTTCTGACTGACGCGGTCGCAAACAGGTTAAATTAAATTTTAATTTTATATTAATTTTCCCACTACTTCGGTCGCAAACATTATATATAATTATAATAACTAATTTTATTTGAGTTTTCCCACTACTGTGGTCGCAAATATGATTTAAAATTATGTATTTATTTATTGTTCTGACTACCCTGGTCGCAAATCTAACTTAAAACTATTTATTTATTCGTATTTCTGACTACAGTAGTCACAGATGTTCCTGAATCTGAAATATTTTAATGCATTTTGCGACTACTATGGTCGGAAATAAGTCGAAAAACTAGCAATTTTTTGCCAAATTCCAGCTCTTTTAAAGCAATACCAATTCAAATATACAACAACCAATTAATCTACCATGCTAACTAATCAATCCACCATTGCAACTAATCAAATCCATAAAATGCAAAACATAAATATTTGTAACTAAAACATCCAAAAAGAGTTAAACATTCTGGCACCATTCAATCTAGTCTAAAATATTACAATCATAGTCAAGTGTAAATATTACCAAGTCTAAACATCCAACTACAAGCAAATAATAATGTCTCAAACATCAATAACCATAACAAACTAAAACTCATTATCCCCGCCATCGTTGCCATTCGAAGGAGTAAATGGACGTCCGCTCATAAATTTCTCCACTAGACTCTGCAGTTTGTTAAAATTTGCGCGATCTTCTTTTCGTTCCTCCTTCAATTCTTCAACTTCTTTTCGTAATGCTTCCACCTCTTCGGGATCTTGCGAATAACTCGCATCACCAGACAACAATGCCGTAGAACGACCTACAGAAAATTGTGATCCAAGACCGTAGGTTCTACCTTTCTTTGCGCCACCAACCACCTGCGTCCATATTGAAGCTACATCATTGGGTGACACTTGGGTTGAGCTACCATCCTCGGAATCGGGTTGACTTTGACGCCATTCCTCAAACCGTTGCTGATAGGCTTCTGAAATTAAAATGGAGTATTTTTTAGAGCAAATTATGGCGCTGAAATTCTACACCAGAAAGAGTACTTACAGACAGGATACTTCGCAAAGCGATCATCAATTTGATGCAGCTAATTTGAAAGCAAAATCCAAGGTAATTGATACAGACACAGTATATGGAAAAAACAAGTCTATTGCTTCAAATGAACAAGAAAAACAAGAAGACATTGGAGGTTATGTTCCTCGAATTTCTGGCATTAGGCAAATGACCCTTTATATCCTATTCGTTGCTCTCCCTCTCACTTCTCAACAATATTTGCATGCGACTAGAGTTTGATGTGCTTTTAATAATTGTTTGTATCAGTAATCTTACAAGTGAGGAGATTGTATAAAATATGTGTCCAAAATCTTGGAGCTGCTATTCAGTTTTGATGAAGAGATATATATACAACATCAACAATATTTTAACCAGTTGGAACTAGCTATATGAATCATTACTATTAACATGATATAAAGTTAACTTAACATATTTCAGCCATATGAAACAAAAATGCCCCATTATCATGTCTACATAGAAGCAACATCCTCATAAGAATATTAAAAAGAACGATAGCCAGGGGAAAACTTATGACATAGTTCTGTAAATTACAACTTATCTTTTACCTGTTTATATAGTTCTGCGATGTAGAAAAATTGCAGCTTCATCGCTATTCCTATCAATTTTCATACTAATTTGATTACTGAAATTGCATGCAGAAAGGGAAACATAGGCTACATTTGCCAAAAAGCACTGGCTTAGAAGGTTTACTTCTGATAACCACAGACATATTAAGTGTAACGAGTTCAATAAACTGGCAGCATCAACTACCAGTAGTCAGCACAAAAGAAAGCTCATAGAGATCATGTGTAGATTACAGGAAAGCTCATAGAGATCTGTTCCTGCCTCTTTGTCAATTTCTGCTCCCTTACCTGCCTCGACTCCTTCGACTACTACTATTTTTACCTCTTCTACCGTTCCTCCTTCTATAGTTCCCCCTTCCTCTGCTCATTATGCAGAAGAGGGTTCTAGTAGCAGAAGCATGGCTATGAGGAGTGTAACACTTGAGGTTCCTGCTAATAGCAGTCTTTTAAGGAAGTCTGGCAGAGCAGATGTTTGGCTTGAACCCTTAATTGGGAATATTGAGAAAAAGAAGATGGACAGTGACAGTTGTCTAACTTTGATGAATGATATAGTTCACTGTACATTGAAGGTACTCTCCCTTTACTCTTTAATAAATTCTTTCTAAGGTACTCTCCCTTTACTCTTTAATAAATTCTTTCTTTTTAATTCTAACTTT